TGAATTAAAATCAAGTGATTAAGGTTTTAACAAAACTAGATTAATTAGGAATTATTGAATCATTTTAAAATAATAATTTAAACCAATTTGGTAATTAAGGTATGAAAACTATTTTAAATTAATTAAAGAATAAATAAAAAGTTTGACTAAAGATATTCAATGAAAGTATAAGAGTTGATTGAAAATGAATTTTTATTAAAATAAACTAACATAAAGAATATGGATTGTCTTTTGGAGAATTTAATTAAATTAAACCGAATCAAATAAAATGTTAGAGTTAAAATGAAAAAAAAAAAACAATTACAATAAAAATAAGGGCAAACCACATAAATCCCACTAGTTTAGGTCTTAATTACTAAGATTCCCAATAGTTTCAAATATTAGTTCCTTTATCATATTTCATGTTTATGATACATGAGTCTGAATCCATGAGATACATGTATCTGCCTAATTTTAAAATTGAAATACAAAATTTATTTATTTAAATTAATTGGTTGTAACTGATTTCCTTAATTAGAGGTAGTATTTTGAGGATTTTTCAAAATATATAGATAATTAATTTCATTTTATTATTCTTTGAAATAGTAAATTCATTAATATTATTAATATAGGATAAAAACATGTATATCTTGGTAATGTAATTTTGATTAATTTCAAATTATTACTCTTATAATAATAAATTCATTAATTTGATGTATCTATTATCAATATATGATGTATCCAACAAACTAAACACTTAGATACATGAGTGTCATAGAAGTACATTCATATGTATCATAGAAGTATCTAGCATTAATTTCATGTATTTGTTATAACATATCTGGTATTAATTTTATGTATCTATTTATATATATATCTAATATTAGTTTCATGTATCTAGTGTTAATTTGATGTATCAAGTATCAATTGCATGTGTTATATCCAAAAACATGTATCTCGAATACATAGTAAACATATACATCTAATTATGTGTATCTAAATATGGAATATACAAAAAGAAGAAGCATAAACATCTAATTATGTGTATCTAAATTTCATACATTATATCCAAAAACATGTATCTCAAATACATAATAAGCATATACATTTAATTATGTGTATCTAAATATAAAATGTAGCTGAAACACATGAATTTTTTTAGGAACAAATCACGACTGTAGAGTATCTGACGTATCATTAATATCATCATGTTGTTAAAAATCATGTATCCGAAATTTATTGGTGGATACATATACATGTTCAAATACCTCATTACTAAAAATACGACTCAGATCTTAATTAAGATTACTACTTATTGGATACACATGTTTCAAGGGATACATCAAAGTAATATTGGTACTACCACATCCATGTCGCAATAACCAAAGAAAACCTTAGAAGAACAACAGCAAACAAAAACTCTCTACAATAATCCCTTTGATCCTTTTGCGTTGTGGCATAACATAATCAAAAACTAAGATCCATTTCTTGTGGAGACAAACAATCAAGACCCACTCTGAATTGAAAGTTTTCTATCTAGCAGTTACTTTGATTTGATCTCGTTATAAATGAACAATACCGAATAATATTTGGATTTAGGAGAATTTGTCGGCCATAATGATGATATCTTGAGAAGAATAGAGTAGATTGGCTATTGTTGGAATGAAATTGTGCGGTGAAATTTTTTATTAGAAAGAAGGAGACATAATTGAGTGATAAATATGGGAGGGGAGAATTAAGAGATAGCGGTTGATTTGGAGTGAAAGAGTTAATTAAGTAGATAATTAATCAATCTTAGTTTTAAGGGTTGTGGATATCTAATTGTATCTTCAAATAATATATTATATATGGTATAAAATACTAAAAGTGGTAATATATGTAATTGTTTGAAAGTAAAGATAATATTAGTATATATAGTAGTGGATGTATGTCTAATAAGGTAGTTTATCCATAAAATAATAAAGAGAAGGAGAAGAATTTGGGCCTTTTGGGCCTATTGCTGCCCAGAAACATTGGGCCCAAAGTTGCTGTATTTTTTGGGCTTTGGCTCAATTCTGTATTTTTATATACAAACTGTATATTGTCCGTATATCAGTGTATATAACTCAGTTTTTAACTCCCAAGAGCTGTAATTCTGCCTTTCAACCTGTATCACGTATACCAAATATATACGGGATGTATATTGGCCTGTATATCAGTGTATACTGCTGTATACGACCTATTTTTGGCACTAAAGATCCGCATTTTCTATTTTCCAGCCCTGTGCTTCTGTTTTATGTGCCCGGCTGACTCGAATGATGAGGAAGAAATAAATTAAGCCTTTATGGCTCAACTCGAGAATGCTAGGAGGAGAAGTCCACCATGGACTCAGAAGAGATAAAAGAATTAGAAATTAGTATTAGAAATAAGAAAACAAATGAACGTAATTAAATTCAAATAAAAGTAACTTAAGCATTTTAAGATCCAAAAATAAAATCAAAAGCCACTGTTAGGCCCATGTGACAAGATTTTAAGAATGTGCAAATGAGATAACTATATCTCAGCAGGCAAACAATTAAAACTTTAGCAATGCCAAGAGAACTTGACAAATGAGAAATCTAAATCATGGATGGAAAACTAGATATTAGCCTAATATGAATTATCCAAAACCTAGGCGTGACGACTTTCCTGGACACGTACATATACAAAATCAGTGATACTCTTACCCAAATCTAGCAAATCATTACGGACAAGAACATATACTACAGAAGTACAAATACATATACTAAAAAAAAGAATCAAACCTTTGACAAGACAAAATTCAAAGAACTTTAGAGAAATTGAAAATGTGAAAATGCCACAATTCTGAAAGGACAAATAAGGGCCATAACAAGCTAAAATAAACTTTAAAAAAAAACAAGCAGAGCAGTCCTACGATATACAACTATGAAGGCCCAAAAAAAATGGAAGCAGTTGTGTACTCAATCAGCAAAACCAGTCTCGACATGATCTGAATCAAAATTGTTATCATTGAGATTGAATGCACTCTAAACAGAAAGAATAAGGACTTAACTCACAACCATGGCTCGAACGAGATTCAACTAGACTCAAACACAAGGAAGCAAGCTCACGACATTCGCATACGGATTCAAAACGAAGAGTAACAAGACAAACTCGAATATAGAAAAACAAAGAAGTGGCAAGCTTAATCGTATAATAACCCCTTTTAATCAACATCAAGACTAGATAAAGGTGTATATAGCACATGAGAATACAAGAATTCCATCACTAGTAACAACATCCAAACAAGAACAGTGATTTCCTAATCTCATAAATATCGCACCGAAATAGAGGAGTAGAAGAGGTGAAGAGGTTACCTTTTCGAGCAGCGAACAGGGACGGGATGAACAAGGAGTAACGACTTTACCACCAACTTCGAATTTCAGGAAACTCCTCTGAATACTCCCAGCTCATGAACAGGGGAAGAACGTGTATATATTTAAGATGTATCTCTTATATGACTGTTGCAGCTTTAATAGTTTTTTTCTCTCTATAAATTCTTGCCCAAAAAAAATCCTCTCCCCTAATGGAGAAGAAGAGATGTTTATATAAAGGAAAATCTAGGATTTACGATTTTTGGGGGTAAAGGGGGAAAATTCGGATAGGAGCAGGGCCAGAAACGGAATTCTCCCTTGATTTCGAAATTCAAAATCCTTTACCAGGGAGCAGCTGGGTTTGGTATGAGATTTTGTCTAAAATCCCAGAAAATCCGGACGAGGAGCAAGGTGGGCGGTTGTTGCAGAGAAAGCTGTTGTTTGTTGACATTTCGGACTGTCGTTGCCTTGACGTTTTTGGGTTTGCGTCTGGGGAAGAGGAAGACACTGGCAGGGGACTGTTTTGGTAATGTAAGGCTGTTGTTTATTGTATCATAGCGTTGGAATTGGAAGGGAAAGGGAAAGGGGTCGGCTGGTACTGCTGCTGTAACGTTGGAGTAGTTCTTGTGATGTTGTCGGTTTGCTGGAGTTGGTGTATTGAAGGGAATGGGCTGCTTGTATTGTATGTATTGTTTGGAAAGGAATTTAGGTCAAGTCTTGGCTAAAAAAAAAAAAATTGATACAAAATTGGGGGGCAAAAATGTGGCCAATTGAATTACAATTGTAACCAAGGATTTTATAATTTAGCCATATTAAGTTATTTTAGAGAATTCAGCTAGATTTTATATAGGATAAATTAATTAATGAGCTTCTTAATCTTAACGAAATAAAATAATTAATTTAATTATAAACTAATTAATTTAAAAATATAAACTATTACTTAAACCACACTAATTGACAAAATATTTAACTAAAACTAAAATCTTTTTGAGACGATTTTCGAATATTCATAAAACATACTAATTATATACAAAATTATATAAGAGACATATTATTATCTAAAAATTATAAAAGGTGACAAACTATTTAAAATAACTTGCAAACTATATTATTTTTTTTGAAAATTTCTAAAACTAATTATTTTAAATTGTTTGAAATTGAAGAAGCTCGATAATTAATCTATATGTGGAGGCCCAAAATTGGGTGTCAACAATGAGAACTTAATTTTTTATCTATTAAGTCGTGACTATATTTATTGTTTGTGTGTTATTGTTGATGGACTTATTCTCAATTATATAAAAAGTCACAATCGAATTTAAGAGTCGAATTCATGTCTTGAAATATTTTAAGTCGCTTTGTTATGTTGTTAGAAGCATTTTCATGAGTCGATTCAATATTTTATTTTATATATAAAGAGATAAAAAGAATTTAATTTAGATATACCGTGATATTTTGATATAAAAAAAAATTCAATTAATCATTGTTTGGTCAATATATTGGCTATGAGACCTTACATTTTTCTTTTATTACAAATTACTTCTGAAATTGATGAACAAATTACAAATGAAAAGAGAAATAGACAATTCAAAAGATCACACTTGACAATTCATAATTATTTTAGCAATACAAGATTAAAAACACCAATAACAGGTTATGTGAATGAAATAAATAGAATCCCTCTATCTTACTCAGACATCTTCGCTTTGAATTTCATGTTGAGATAGGTATACTTCGGAGGACAACTGCCTCAATAGTTAATCCAGGCCCAAAACCACAAAGCACACCCCAATCAAGACCTCCACCGGTGGTACCCAATCCCATCTCGATAGAGATTTTCCTCATCTCATCCAAAACAAACAGAACAGAGGCACTGGCCATGTTCCCATAATTGCTCAGCACATTCCTTGAAGCCTTGAGTTTTTCAGGTGTTAGGCTCAAGTTTAACTCAATTTGATCTAAAATTGCACGGCCACCTGGATGAGCCACCCAAAAAATGGAGTTCCAGTTAGAAATTCCAAGAGGCTGGAATGCTTCCCCTAAAATTCTCTCAATGTTTTTCGAGATCAACATTGGAGTATTTTTATGTATTTTAGCGATCAATCCAGCTTCACCGAGTTTAGCAGTAATTTCATATTCACTGTCTGGGAGAAGAGTTTGAGTTGTAAATACAAGCTCAAACAAAGGTCTTTCCACCGTCGGTATTGGATCTGAACCAATAATGACAGCTGATGCCCCATCACTAAACAGGGCTTGCCCAACCAAAACTTCAGTCTCAGTTTCACTTGGGGCATGAAAGTCCAAAAAATTGATTAATTCTGAGCAAACAACAAGGACTCGAGCACCCTTGTTGTTCTCAGCTAAGTCTTTAGCTAATCGTAGAGTAGTGGCACCACCAGAACAACCTTGTTGGTACATCATGAATCGCTTGACTGTTAGGTCAAGTCCAAGAAGCTGAGTGAGTTGGTAATCCGCCCCAGGAATATCCACACCAGTAGTGGTGCAAAAGACCAAATGTGTAATCATGGACTTGGACTGACCCCACTCATTGATCGCCTTTTCAGCGGCTTCCTTCCCAAGTTTTGGAACTTCAACAATCGCAATTTCTTGCCTAGCATCAAATGAAGGTGCTTTGTACTCACAAAAATTAGGATTTTTTTTCAAGATTTCCTCTGTTAAGTATGAATATCTCTTTTTAATCATTGATCCGTCACCTGCAACATATTTTAGATGTACACCAACGTCATTAAATAAAACATAATAAGAGTTCGCCAACACCCCATCCCAACATAATACACTTGTATTGATAAACCAAAGTCCAATGTTAAGCAAGATTATAAAGTAAGCAGAGGCAAAGCCAGAATTTTAAGCTTATATATTTTGAATTTTACAACAACGATTTCAAGAGTTAATAACTAAGTTCTAAACTTAATATTTGTACAAAAAATATTGTTTTCAACCGAGTCCGAACTTCTAACTCTACCCATGAAAGTAAGTTGTGAGTTCAATTCATGGTTAAGTTCTCAAATCATAACAAAAAGTTAACGGACTACTATAATTATGTACCATAAAAGAACAGAAAATTATCTTACACATGCGCTTAAACTTTTGCTTTAACTCAATTTTATCATCACTATTAGTGACACGAAAATAATAATCAGGATAGGTGCTTTGATCGAAACAATTGAGAGGGTTGGCCGTTCCAATGGCCAACACGGTGGCGGGCCCCACAGTTCGTTGTGCCTGGCGGATCTCGTTAACGGTGGCCATTTTCGCCGGAAAATATAGTGATTTACTTATATTTGCTAAGTTTTCCGATGATGTATAGTAGTAAGAATGTATACAATTTATCTTCATGCAGGTCTCTCTTTATATAGAAATGTTCATGGTTAAGATATGTATTAAACTAATCTAATATTAGATCTTAAATCAATCAATAAATAATAAAAAAGACAACGTGCCCTTTTAAAAAACTATCGGTTAGAAATTAGAATACAATAAGATGTATATTTGTAGGTACTTAGCTTGTATTACTCCTATGTTAGTAATTTAAGTGACATAGTTTGAATTTTAAAGAGTCAAATAATTTAAATTTGATTGTGAATTTGGACATGAAATTTTCATATTTTTATTAAATGAAGTTTATAAAGTATTATAAATAATGACAGAGCTAGAATATTTAATAAGAGGGTTCATAATCCGAAAAAGTAAATATATAACCTAATCAAAAGGGATTCAACATCTACTATATATATACATAAAATATAATTTTAATAATGTATAAATAGTAATATTTTCTACCGAAGAAGATTGAACTTGATAACAATATGCTAGCTCCTCCCCGAGTTATAAGTATATGAAAACATTATGATTCCTTTTTATTTATGTCCACCTTTAAAGGAGTATGTCACTTTTCTATTTACGGAAGTAATATTTTATAAAAATACATGATTCCTGGTGTGCTCTTAATAAAATTTAATAATTTTTTATTTCTTTTGCGCATGTGCATCCTAACAAATTAATATTGTGATAAATATGTGTTTATTATAGTCAAATTTCTTAATAACAATATTTCTTCTTTTTGAATATTATAAGGAAATATTATTTACAGAAGATATATAATATAAAATAACATGAAAAATCAGTTTCAAAGAAAACTTGATCCATTGACCGTTAGAGTGAATGTTGTTATAATGTATATTGACTACTAGTTATACAAATGTTTTTACTGTATTCTTTATGATAATACATAAACAAACAGGTAAACTTAATTTTTTATTTTTTTTGGTAGACTTAACTTCAACTGACAAGTAAACATTCAAACTTTGAAAGTGTACATCTAGACACATTAACTTGATCTCAATTAGTTCAGCTCGTTTTCACTGTGTTTTGTTGACATTTGCTACTGACGTGGCACATAGATTTTGGAAGTGTTTAGATGATACTTTGCAAATTGAGCATTCAACTCACATTGAAAACAAGTTAATTAAGGTGTCTAAATATACATAATCCAAATTAGAATATTTGCTTGTGAGTTATGTTAATTAAAAATCAATGTAACAATGAACCAACTATATATTATAGTCTAGATTCCAGCTAATTAATGATTTGTTATATCATTTGCATGTGACTCCTCTTCCATAATTGAATAGAACAAATTTTAAAAGTCCAATTTCTCAATTAAGTAAGTTAATTCATTCTCTAGCTTTAAAAAATCATAGCTGCAAAGTACTCATTAATTATCTGTTCCGGCAAAAATGGGCACGGTTGATTAGCAAATGGATGAAGCGGATTGAATTTGAACAGATTAAAACTAGATTAAGTTAAAAATGATTGAATTGCAATTCATTCATATTCGTACGAGTAAGTTAATGTAAAATACTCCTTATCATTAATTATTTTCTTAATAGATGTGACAAGTCAAACTGTACAAATAAAAATGAACGGATGGATCAAGTAATAGGTCGTTATCAATGGACCCATAAAATTTGAGGTCAAATAGAAGCGGTTATACATATTTCCAAAATATTATGGACACATAAAAAATTGAGATGATCCAAAATTTATATTTCGTGACATATAACTTTTTTTAAAAATATTAATTATATTTTAAAAAAATAACAAGTATTTGTAATAAATGAAACCACCAAATTTGAGTTCAAACCAATTAAAGTCGGCAAGACATGTATTTTGATGGTGTAACGTGGTCTTTGGTGTTTCCAAAATTTATTATTTTAGCTATGGTTAAGATATGTATTAAATTAATCTAATTTAAATCTTTGATGAATAAGTAGGACAGCTGTAGGTAATCATATACTTAACTGTTCTTTTACATTTTTGTCCAGCTTTATTATATTATTTTTTTAAAAGAAAATATTAGTTAGAATAAAGTCAAACACAATAAGCTTTAATTTACTCATACAGTTAGGTGTTTGAATTAATTTTATCATTCCAATTTATGTATATAGTTCGAGTTTCAAGAGTCAAATAAGTTAGAATTGACAAAAAAAATTAGAGATATAAAATAGAATCCTCAAGGTTTTTTTGAAACAAAACTTATATTATTGAAAACAACGTAAAAAGTACTATAACTTATAATAATACTGATAACTCAAAATAATCAAAGGATATATAAAAAAAATTAATGAGACTAAATTTTATATATCCTTTATATATTATGCCAATTAAAAAATTAATGTAACAGTGAAGCAACTATATTTATATAGCCTGGATTCCAGCTAATTAATAATTTGTTATATCATTTGCATGTGAATCTTCTTTCAGAATTGAAAAGAACAATTTAATATAGCCCAATTTCTTAATTAAGTCATGCTCTAAAAATGGTTAATGTCTACTGGATCCGCCGGGCACAGCAGATCAATGTGCTGGTTATCGGAACGCCCAATTTCTTCGTCAGAAAATTATATTGTATATGTTGAATTTTTTTTTAGTTAGATTTCTCGTATCGTCATTCAACTCTTAATCATTTTATAGTCATCTTATTAAAAAATTATTTTTTTGTTGAAGAAAATTGAAATCAAGAAAAAAATGTGTGAATTTTTGAGATAATAACTATTAGTTGAGTGCCCATCTAAAAAATTAACACATTTTTCTTGATTTCTTCGTACATTTACTTAAATTATTTATATTGTGAAGTCTTAATATTAGTGAATATAAAGCACCTTCTTTTACATAAGAATAATGTTAATCTCAAAAGACATCCAGATCAGTATATATAATGACAATAACAGTGTGTTAATTACTTAGTTTTACAATTGTTTTGATTTCTATTAAAATTACAATTAATTAATTGATATGGTACTTTTTACTCGCATCACTTGTTACAATGAAGAATACTTAAAACATCTTCTTCTTTTTTATGACAAGCTAGAGTTTGCAGTTAGCAATATAATACATACGTTAATTTGAGGGAATTATTGTAGATGTAATCTCGAGATTCGAAATATGGCTTCTCTCAGAAACCTAATATGAACTTTATATATATATATATAAAATGAGGAACTTTCGCATATAGCCACTCAAAAATAGCCTAATTACGCTTCATAGCTATAGTTTGATAATTACGATTCGTAGCTACATGTTATAGGGAGGAGAGAGGTGACCGAGATTGGGAGAGAGAGGAGAGAGGCGAGCGAGAGAGGGCAGAGAGTGGGAAAGAGGTGAATTGTATATGTATATCGGTTAAATAATTGTATATTATACATATGTATTTGTATAAATGGCAAGCGAGACTGGGAGAGGGAGGAGAGAGGCGAGCGAGATTGGGAGATTGAGCGAGTGAGATTCGAAGTCAACCCACGTAATTAATGATTAATGTTAGTCACGAGTGGTAATTATAGCAAACTATAGTTATGATGAGTAATTAAGTAATATAAGTTTGCTTAACTGCATAATTTTTCATATATATAACACAAAATTGCAAGCGAGATTCAAAGTGTGTGATTTCGTATATGTTTGTTTTCAAAACATATACTATTACGTTTAGTAAATATGAGTCTTATTTTGTGTATCCCAACCTAAATAGATACACTACGGAGGACGATTGCCTCAATAGTTAATCCAGGCCCAAAACCCAAAAGCACGCCCCAGACAAGGCCTTCTCCAGTGGTTCCCAATTCTGCTCTGATAGATGTTTTCCTCATCTCGTCCAACACAAACAAAACACTAACACTGCCCATGTTCCCATAATTCCTCATGATATTTCTTGTAGCCTTGAGTTTTTCAGGCCTTAAGCCCAATTTTAATTCAATTTGATCCAAAATTGCGCGTCCGCCTGCATGAGATACCCAAAAGATTGAGTTCCAATCAGAAATGCCAAGAGGTTGAAATGCTTCAACTAGGATCCTCTCAATATTTTTTGAAATCAGCATTGGAGTATCCTTATGTATTTTAGCTATCAGTCCCGCCTCATTGAGGTTACCAATAATTGCATGTCCACTATCTGGAAGAAGATTTTGTGTTGCAAATACTAGCTCAAACAAAGGCCTCTCCACCGTCATGATTGGATTTGAACCAACAATGACAGCTGATGCCCCATCACTGAACAGGGCTTGTCCAATCAAAACGTCAATCTCGGCTTCACTTGGTGCATGGAAGCATAGCAAATTAATTTCTGAACAAACAACAAGAACTCGAGTACCTTTATTATTCTCAGCTAAATCCTTAGCTAATCGAAGAGCAGTGCCACCAGCAGAACAACCTTGTTGGTACATCATGAATCGTTTCACTGATGGTTCAAGTCCAAGAAGCTTAGTGAGTTGGTAGTCCGCCCCAGGCACATCCACACCACTAGTGGTACAAAAGACCAAATGAGTAATTTTTGACTTAGACTGGCCCCATTCATTGATGGCCTTTTCAGCTGCTTCCTTCCCAAGTTTTGGCACCTCAAGAATCGCAATTTCTTGTCTAACATTAAAAGAAGATGCTTTATATTTACATAAATTAGGATTCTTTTTCAAGATTTCCTCTGTTAAGTGAAAATATCTCTTTTTAATCATTGATCTGTCACCTGCAACATATGAAAACATAATTAATTAAAGTTAGCCAACTTCCCATCCTAACATATCACTTAAAACTTAAATGTTTATAATATTGGTTTATTGGTTGAATATGCATTTGTTTCTTTTATTGAATCCAAAATCTTCAAATTAAAGTAATGCATATAAACCTAGTCAGATGTTTCTAATCCCTTTATATACCCTTATACATTTCTAATCTTCAAGTAAAATGGAATATATGTACCATAAAAGAATAGAAAAGTAGATTATCTTACACATGCGCTTAAACTTT